TGGTCAATGACATGAGACAAAGTGTATGTGAACTGCTGTATGAAAAGTGAATTTACTCTGTAAATCTTCACCCAAATCCTAATAAAAAAAAAAAAAAAAAAAGATAGTAACAAGGATAATGCAGTACAGACTAAGTCTGAAATGAGTTAAGTCTAGTGTAACCTAACGTCAGTGAGTAAAAAAAAGCAATTCTTTCTAAACATCTGTACCAGAAAAACAAAAGAAACGCTGTTTGTAAAAAGCCTACTAAGAAAGGAGAAAGTACTGATCCCTAAGTAAAATCCACTTATCAGTCACCTAATACTTCATCTTCCCAGAATTTACATATTTGCATACACCATAATGAATAGTGTCCCCACCAAAGAGTTGAGCAATAAGAGATTAATTTTAAGGATATATAAAAGCCAATCAGAAGAGACTTACATGACTTCCAATTCCTCTGTCTTGCTTCATCATAAAATTGACGCAATACCAGAAAATCAATAACATCTGGCATATCATGATATCTAAGCAAAAACAAAAAGATTATTAAAATCAATGTTTAAGCAGGTAACAGTCTAGACAACACTGGCCAAAAGAGATACAATAGGAGTCACATATATAACTTCTAATTTTCTATTAGCCACATTTAAAAAGAAAACTAGTGAAATTAAATTATGTTAATATTTTATTTAACCCAAGATATCCAAAATATTACCAATTCAATATATAATCAATATAAAATATTTAATCATAACCTCTTCATTATTTTAGTAAACTAACTCTTCAAAATCTAACGTGTTTACTTACAATTTGCATCAGCCACATTTAAAGGGCACAATACCCACACATGGCATTTGGTTACTATATGAGGTATAACAACAGTTTAGCAAACTACGTATTTTAACATTTTCTCAAACACAAAGGCAAGACCAACTTCCCCTAATGGTCAGAATTCTTCACATATTGAAGTGGCATGGAAAATGTATTAAAAAAATATGATAAGGAATATTTTTCCTATCGTTGCTATAGTATCTCTATTTTTACTTCTAGAAGAGTTTCCATCAGAAACTCAATCCACACCTTCCACTGTCCACAGTGCTCACCTATTTATCCTGTAGCCAAATGGAAAGAGCACACTTATCAACAAGATGGAAAATAGAAAGTTTGGTAACTTCATTAAAAACAAAAACAACATACCTAATAGAGAAAGATTTGTCCATGAGTTTGCCAGTCGCTGGATCAATAAAGGCTAATTTGAGACAACACAGTGTAGGGGGCCCAACCTCATACCGTATTCCAACTATTTTGACTAGTTCTTGATCCTTTGTAACAGACAGTTTTGAAAAAAACAAATGTTTAAAATGGCTAAAATAAAGCAATTATTCAAGACTATAATTTTCCACATATTAACAAATTAAGGCAATTTTCAATTTAGTCATATAAACCAAGAGACAAGTTTCATATACCATTAATTACAATCATTTTTTGCTTAGTTAATCTCCACATCTTTTGGAAGACAGACATTTAATACTGCTTCTAATATAAGGAATATATTCACTTTAGAAAATACACCATGAAGGTATAAAACAGAAAACACAAATCACCAGTCAACTTGATATCCAAGGAAAACCAGTATTAACATTCTGATATACTGCCTCCTGGCTTTCTTCTCTTCTTTTGAATATTTTTTAATTTAAAAAGTTTCATATTACAATATACAAGCAAATACAATAAATATTTTATTTATCCATAAGTATTCTTCAAAGTTATTAAAATTTCTACTAACATGAAAACCAAAAAACCAAACTCATTGCCTTCAAGTTGAATCCGACTCTTAATGAACCCTCCCTGGGATTCCAAGGCAGTATCGCTATGGAAGTAGACTGCCCCATCTTCCTTCCAAGAAGTGGATGGTGGATTTGAACCACCAGCCTTATGCTTATCAGTCAAATGCCTTGGGCACTACGCCACCAGAGCTCCCTCTACTAACATATTCAATAAATATTTGAGGATCTACTATGTGTCCTGACCTGTTTTAGGCAGTAGGGATGACACTAAATAGCATAAAATCCTCATTTTGGAAGTTCCCAACCTGATGGACTATCTATTAAATAAATGGATATGCCATAATTAACCTTCCTCTTAATATCTTTCCTTGATCCTTGAAATACAATCAATGATATATATTTATTTATTCATTTCACAAAAATGTAATTATAATGTAGCAAAGTGCCAAGTACTTAGTTACACAATTGTAAGGGAAACAGATGTTTTAATAAATCTTTGAAAGTACATTCATAAAGTACAGCCAATGAGCTACATATAAGCATTAAAAATTAAAAATAGCTATCTTTGGTAAAATGACTGGTATTCTTTTCATTTCCTAACAGTAACTGCTCTAGTGGCACAAAGACTAAGAAGGAATCTGACTGCTAACCAGAAGCTTGGTGGTTCAAACCCACCTGTCACTCAGTGGAAGGAAAATAATGCTATTTATTTCTATAAAGATTTACTGCCTTGGAAAACCAATGAGGGTCACTGTGGGTTGGAATCGACTCAATGGCAGTGGGTTTTCTTCAACAGTAATTGAAAGTATTTAAAACATTAAATAAAAATGTAAACAAGAAAATAAAAATCACATCTAATGCTATTACACAGATAACCACTGTTAAAACTCTTTACTATTTCTTTTGGTTTTATGACTAAGTATATCTTTTAAAATCTGTCTTCATAAATACAAACAGCATTTCACATCCCATTTTTCCTAACACACTGTGAAAATCTACCCCTCATTCATTCAACAAATATTCTGAAAGAGTGTCAACTGCATGGCCAGCTGAACATAGTGGTCCATGGTGTAATTGTACCATGATCTGATTCATTCATTTCCTACCATGAGATATTTGGGTCCCCCCCCCCAAAGTTTTTGTTTTTACATACAATGAGAAGAAACAGTTTTGGCCCATAAATTTGCATGTATTTCTGGTTATTTCCTAAATTAGCAGAAATAGAATCACTGATTTAAAGTATCTAAATATTTTTCTTTCAATTTCTATTGCCAACTCCTTCAAAGCAACCTTATCAGCATCTGAATAATGTTTAATAAACTAAAATCTATGCTACTTGCTTAAACATGGTATATATTATCTTTCTTTAAATTAAAAATAAAGTTTAACAAAATTGGTTGAGAATGGGGTGTTAAAGTTATTTCCACATTTCATTTTGAATAAGGTTAAATTTTTTGTTCCAATTTGTGTTTTTTTCAAATCTGTGTTGGAAATATATTTTTTAAATTATTGATATATTTTGCCAAGCTGCTTCCCACACAGACTCTGGGTTGTTACAGGCTAATGAGCAGTACATGAAGACTGCTTATTAGTAGATCTTAAAGTTTAACAGTCAAGAGAACAAAAAAACTAAAAAAGACTTGGTAGGAAACTAATGGAAAGTCCTGAAATACGCTCCCAGTATGTTTTTGCATGGTTTCATAAATAATTTCTCTATATACATATGTGTTAAATATATAATACCTTAATACCACCATCTTACCCTGAGATCCATTTTTCTCCATGGCTCCTTATTAGGATTCAGCTCATAAATGTTATTTCTTCTGACTGCCTCAATATAAGCTTCATGACCCTGTCGAAAATATATTACCTACAAAAGAGAAGCAAACTTTTGAAAATTAATAAAAAGCTCAAAGCAATGAGAATTTTATTTTATAATCCATGTTAAATATTTTTATTTTATTACTCTCACCTCATCACCCATCTGAGGAACAAAAGGAGACCTTCGAAGTGTGGTGTCAGTTATCCAAACTGGAGGATGAAACTCATATAAATGTTCCATGTTTGCAAGCTCTGCTGGTGTCATCCTCCTCAGATTCTGCCAAGGGAAAGAGAACAATGATCTATACAATAACAAGAGACAATGCGCACTGCTTGACTGAAAAACAAAAGAAACTTCACCATTCAGAATGACTATTACTTGACATGTTAATCTAATTATTGTTTTTGAACAGCATACTGTACATATTTGGTCAATTAACATGCACAGGAATATATCTGTTAAAAAAAAAAAAATTGTAAATCAACCTAGCACTCTGTTAGCATCATCTACTAAATTTCTTCATCACACTTTAAAAGATGTCCTCAAATTCCCTGATATTCTTCTCCTCTTCAAGTTGTTGCTGTTGTGATATCCCGACAAGTCGACTCCAATGCATAGTGACCCCATGTACAACAGAACAAAACACTGCCCAATCCTGTGCCAGCCTCACAATCCTTGCTATACCTGAGCCTATTATTGCAGCCATCGTGTCAATCCATCCCGTTGAGGGCCTCCCCCTTTTTCTCTGACCCCTCAATTTAAAAAGCATGATATCCTTCTCCAGGGAGTGGTCCCTTCTGACAACATGACCAAGTAAGTGAGAGGAAGTCTGGCCATTCTCACTTCCAAGGAGCATTCTGGCTACACTTCTTCCAGGACATATTTGTTAGTTCTTTTAGTAGTCCACAGTATTTACAGTACTCTACATCAACACCACAACTCAAAAGCATTGACTCTTCTTCGGTCTTCCTTTACATTGTCCAGCTCTCACATGCATATAAGGCAACTGAAAATACCATGGCTTGGGTTAGGCACACCTTAGTCTTCAAAGAGACATCTTTTCTCTTCAGCACTAGAAAGAGATCTTTTGCAGCAGATTTGCCTAGTGCATTACATCTTTTGATGTCTTGACTGCTGCTTCCTTTGATGTTGATTGTCAAGCCAAGTAGTATGAAATCTTTAACAACTTCAATCTTTTCTCCATTTATTGTCATGCTGCTTACTGGCCAATTGTGAGGATTTTCATTTCCTTTATGTTGAGCTGTAATCCATACTGCAGACTGACATCTTTCATCTTCATCAGTAAGTGATCTAACTAATCCTCACTTTCAGCAAGTACAGTTGTGTTATCTGCATATGGCAGGATGTTAATGAATCTTCCTCCAATCCTGATGCCATGTTCTTCTTCACACAGTCCAGCTTCTCAGATTATTTGTTCAGCATACAAATTGAATAAAAGCCAAACTCACTGCTGCTGAGTCAGTTTTGACTCATAAGGACTCCTCCTTGGGTTTCTGAGGCAGTATCTCTACAGAAGTAGATTGCTCAGTTTTCCTTCTAAAAAGTGGCTGGTGAGACTGAATCACCAGCCTACAGATTGAATAAGTATGGTGAAAGGCTACAACCCTGATACACTCCCTTCCTGATTCTATATCACATAGTATCCCCTTGTTCTCTTTGAACAACAGCCTCCCAGTCTTCATACAGGTTCCTGATGAGCACAATAAAGTGTTCTGGAATTCCCATTCTTCTCAGTGTTATCCATAATTTGTTATAATCCACACAATCGAATGTTCTTTTGCACAGTCAATAAAAGCACAAGTAAACATCTTTCTAGTGTTCTTTGCTTTCAGCCAAGATCCATCTGACATCAGCAATGATATCCCTCATTCCACGTCCTCTTCTGAATCCAGCTTACATTTCTAGAAGTTGTCAATATACTGCTGCAACCATTTTGTAATTATCTTCAGCAACATTTTACTCACGTGTGATATTAATGACATTGTTTGATCATTTCCATGTTCTCTAGAATCACTTTTCTTTGGAATGGGTACAAATGTGGATCTCTTCTAGTCAGATGACCAGGTAGTTAGTTGTATTCCAAATTTCTTAGCATAGATGACTGAGTGCCTCCAGCGTTGGCATATGTTTATTGAAATATCTCAATGGTATTTCATCAATTCATGGAGCCTTTTTCTTTGCCAGTTCGTGCAGTGGATCTTCAACTTCTTCCTTCAATACCATTGGTTTTTCATCATATGCCACCTCCTAAAATAGATGAACATCAACCAATTATTTTTGGTACAGTCACTCTGTGTATTCCTTCCATCTTCTCAAGCTTCTCTTTGAAATCTTGTGTCCAAATCTTTTATCTTATCGTTTCTTCCATTTCCTTCAGTTACTCGCCACTCAAGGACAAATTTCAGAGTTCCTTCTGACATTCCTTTTGGTTTTTTCTTCCTTTGTTGTCCTTTTAATGACCTTTTGATTTCTTCATGGATCATGTTCTTGATATCATCCCACTATTTCTCTGGTTTTCGGTCACTGATGTACAATGCATCAAATCTGTTCTTTAAATGGTCTCTAAATTCAGGAGGGATATAACCAAGGTCCTATTTTGGCTCTCATGGAATTGTTTTAATTGCCTTCAACTTCAACATGAACTTGCATATGAGCAACTGATGGTTTGTTCCAGGCAGCTCCTGGCCTTGTTGTGCATGAAGATATTGAGCTTCTCTATTGCTTCATTCCACAGACGTAGACAATCCAATTGCAAAAAGGTATTTGCAATGAATAAGTCACTGGTGTTGCAAAATTCTGTCATGTGATCTCCAGCATTATTTCTGTCATCAAGGGCAAATTTTCCAACTACCAGTAATTCTTCTTTGTTTCCAACTTTTGCATTCCAGTCACCAGTGATAATCAAACACATCTTGTTTGCATGTTTGGTCAATTTCAGACTACAGAAGGTGGTAAAAATCTTCAATTTCTTCAACTTTGGCTTTCGTGGTTGGTGTATAAATCTGCATAATAGTAGTATTAAGTGGTCTTCCGTGCAGGTGTATGACTATCATCCTATCACTGACAGTACTGTATTTCAGGATAGATCTTGAAACATTCTTTGTGATAATGAATGCTGTACCATTCCTCTACAATTTGTCATTCCTGGCATAGTAGATCATATGACTGTCTGATTCAAAATGGCCAAAACCTGTCCATTTCAGCTCACTAAATGCCTAGGATATTGATCTTTACGCGTTCCATTTCATTTTTGACAACTACCAATTTTCCTAGATTCATACTTCATATATACATTCTATGTTCCAATTATAAATAGATGTTTGGAGCTGTTTCTTCCCATTTTGAGTCATGCCACATCAGCAAATGAAGGTCCCAAAAGCTTTACTCCATCCACATCATTAGGGATGACTCTACTCTCAGGAGGCAGCTCTTTCCCAGTAATATTTTGAGTGTCTTCTGACCTGAGGGGCTCATCTTCCAGCACTATGTGGGACAATGTTTCAAGACTATTCATAAAGATTTCTAGTAATATATCAGGTAGTGTTTCACTGCTACTCATAATGTTTTCACTGGCCAATTCTTTGAGAAGTGGATGGATCCCTCCTTCTTCTGAGTCTGTCTTAATCTGGAAGCTCCACTGAAACCTGTCCACCATGGGTCACCCTGCTCATATTTGAAATACCCGTGGCATAGCCTCCAGCCTCACAGCCAACACTCCAGCCACCAAAGTGAGACAGAGAAACATGTGGTGGTTTCTTTAAGTTGTGAAGCCTAATTATTCACCCTTCAGTCAGGGCTAGATGTAGTGAATCACTTCTAACAAACAGAATAAAGCGAAAGAAACAATGTGGCACTTCCAAGACTAAGTCATTAAAGACAATTGGACTTACTCCTTGCTCACTCATTGAGGAGGAAGTCAGCTACCATGCCACGAGGACACTTAAGCAGCCTTACGGACAGGCCCATGAGGCAAGGAACTGAGGAAACTAGCCAAAAGCTGCATGAGCGAGCCTGGGAAAATCAGCCATCTCCAGTCAAGCCTTCAGATGACTACAACAGCAGACCTCATCATGACTGCAAGCTCATTAGAGCCTGAGTCTAAAGCACCTAGCTAAGCTACTCCCAAATTTCTGACCCACCAAAACTCAATATAACAAATGTTTGTTATCTAAAGCAGTTGAGTTTCAGAGTTACTTGTTACACAGCAATAGATAACTAATACAAAGACTTAATATCTTTAAATAAAGACAACAACCTACACATCACATATACATGTGATCTACTGTACATGTGATGAAGAAATAGGGAAGATATTACGATCAGGAGGAAAGAATAAACATGTAAAATGAAAATGATAAAACAGACAAAACAAGTGGAAATTGCCTTAAAATGACTTGAAATGTAGTTCTGGCGTTGAAATTGACAGGAAAAAAAAATCAGAGCTATATGGGATTCTCAGGAAAAGAGAGCTTTCCCTTTAATTTTCAGATTAGGAAAAAATGACTGCCAACCCCACTAACTCATCACAATGGAGGTAAAGACTGTTAAAAACAAGTAGCTTTTACTGAAACACTTTCCATTTTACATCTGACTCTTGCTGGCATTATAACATTGTTAAAGAAAACAATTGTTAAAGAAAAAGTACAATTATATAAACGTGTAAATGGATGTATTCTTAAAGATATATTTGTCTTACCTCTTTTTTAGGCTTTCTTTCTTTCTTTCTCTTTCGTCTTCTTTTTGGAGGAGATAAATTCTCAGTGGACATTTCATCCTCTGAACTACTAGTGCAAAATCGGGTTATTCGTCGACGAGATGATGCTCGTAAAGGAGGCTGCAGATTGATGCCTGCATCAGCTGTCCAATCAGAATATCTAGATGAAGAGTCACTAGAAAAGGACAATGTTTTAAATTATATGGAACAAGTATCTAAGCACAAATAGCAAGTTAATCATACAATCTTAAAGGAAGGAAGGAATAGCATGAAAAGGGAAGGAAAGATCCAAAGAAGATTCAACTTAACAACCTGTTCTCACTACCAATGAAATGAGCAAAGATCATTTTAAAAAAAAAAGGAGAAGAACTTCCAGGGTAAGATGGAGGAATAGGCAGACAAGCGACACAGACCTTCTTCAACGAAGACAAGAAAAACAAATTGAGAAAGATACAGAAGATAATGCTGGAGCCCTGAGCTTTGAAAGGAACTAAGCAGAAGTGGATTAGGCACCAACTAGTGGAAAAACCTGAATTAAAACAGTGAGTACAGAGATGGTCAGAGCTGTGGACTGTCAGCTACTCTAATGGGACCAATAGCCTGAATATTTTCAAGTGGTGCTGGGACCTAAGAACTGACCTAAAGATCAATCTTGATCACCAAGGGCTGCAGGGACAACTGAGCTGGTGGCCTATGACTAGGAAGGGAAACAGCAAGCAGGGAGACAACTTGAGCTACTGACTTGCCGCTGTCCAGAGGGTGCAGCCATTTTGATTGTTTACACACAGCAGCCATTTTGGATATTTAAAGTGACCGAGGGTGTACCGCTTTGGATGTTTACAAGCAGTGGCCATTTTGGATATTTAAAGTGACGGAGGGCACAGCCATTTTGAATGCTTACTAGTGGTGGCCATTTTGGATATTTAAAGTGACCAAGGGTGTAGCCATTTTGAATCTTTACAAGTGGCAACCATTTTGTATTTTAAAGTGATAGCATTTTCATTTGAATTCCAGGGACCTAAGAATAGGCTGTTTGCCAAGGTCAGCAGGGACATACGAGAGGCTGACAACAGGAAAGGAGACAGGTGGTTAGTGTGTTAAGTGCTGTCAACTAGTGACTAAAAGAGCACAGCACCCTGCTTGCATAGATAACATACAAACAAAAAAGAAAATGAAAATTGTGGGCAAGTCACTCCAACATACAATCACCAATTAAATATAAACACAAAAACATCACAATGCCTTGGAGACAATAGAGAATCACAGTCCACACAAAGAAACAAGATAAAGCAGGAGAAACAAGGGACCAGGATACAGACCTAAAACACATCCCTGAGGAAGATGCAGCATCGGAACTCCCCGATAAGGAATTCAAAAGAATTATATTTATGTATCTTCAATGAATTGAGAGACAGATCATGAAAAACACAGACAAAACCCTAGAACAATTTCAAAAGACAATACAAGAACAAAATGACAAACGTATATGAAAAATTAGAAATTATACAAAATCTACATATAGAAATCCAGAAGATTAATACTAAATTTTCAGAAATAGGTAAGACACTGAATGGACAAAGTAGCAGAACTGACTCAACAGAAGACAGAATTAGGGAGATTGAAGGCAAATACCTGAACACGTCTTTGAAAAGGCATCAATGAGAAAAAAGATCAAAACAAAATGAAGAAAGCCTAAGGTTCATGTGGGATACCATCAAAAGGAATAACCTATGTGTAACCAGAATTCCAGAAGAGGAAGAGAAAAAGAAAACCACAGAGAAAACTGTCGAAGATTTGTTGGAAGAGTATTTTCCTGGTATGATAAAAGATGAGAATATATCCATTCAGAAGTCCAATGAACCCCAAACAGGATAGACCCCAAAAGAAAATCACCAAGACATATCACCATCAAACTTACCAAAAACAAAAACAAAGAAGAATCATGAGAGCAGCATGGGTGGGAAAAAAGAAAAGTTACCTACAAGAGCAACCAATAAGACTAAGCTCAGATTTCTCAACAGAAACCATGCAGATGAGAAGACAATGGGATGGTATATATAAAACCCTGAAAGAGAAAAACTTCCAACCAAGAATTATGTACCCAGCAAAATTGTCCCTCAAATATGATGGTGAAATTAGAACATTTCCAGATAAGCAGAAATTAAGGGAATTTGTTAAAACCAGACCAACCTTACAAGAGATGCTAAAGGGTGCCCTTTGGACAGAGAAGCAACAGCCAACAACAACTGACCATTAACACACATGATGATATAACCCAGAAACCAATACAGCTATGGAATTATCCAAAGTAAAGAAGCCTACAAGATTGTAAACAGGGAACCAGAGACATCAATTGACAAATGAGGACAACTACAAACCAAAAAAGAGGGAAAAACTGTATCATTACAGAACTTCCAGATGGAGGGAAGTCAAGCCAACTACAAGATAGAACAGACTGTTCTAAACTTGGGAAGAAAACTATAAATCACAGGGTAACCTCAAAGAAAAATGATAAACCTTCACATCAAAAAAGAGGACCAGCATAAATATTCAACAAATACTAAAACCATAGCAATGAAGAAAGTGATAACACAATTCATAAACAAAACAAGCTCAGCATAGAAAATTATACAGAACAAAGAAATCAACACCATGAAAAAGCACATAACAGAAATGACAGCAACAAATTTTCTTATTTGCTGATAATTACATACCTGGCGAGGGACTTATCCTCTAAGATTTATAGCAGAAGAGTGGATGACCAAACTATGGTATATACACATAATGGAATGCTAGGCAGCACTAAAGAATGTAGAGTCTACAAAACACCACATAACACGGATGAACTTGGAGGATATTATGCTCAGTGACATAAATCAATCATAGAAGGACAAATATAGTGTTAGTTTGTTGTTATGGAGGGTCAAGGAAAGGTTTATATATAGAGGGAAACTATCCTTGTTGGTTGCCAGGGGTGGAAGGGGTGGGGGAGAAAGCATTGAAAAAAAAAAAAAAAAAGCATTGACCCATGTCACTTTAGTTTTGTGTATTTCACTGTACATAATTATATTTCAATGAAATAAATTTAAAAAATAAAAATTTTAAAAAAAAAGAAGAAACTAACCTTGGAAATTTAGAAAGGATGTTAAGCCTGAGGAATTTTTTTTCTGTAACATAAAATAAATGAGACCTGATGGAGACAAAATCTAGAGCCAATGAACAATTTTCCTTTCAGAAAATAAAGCACAAATTTACAAAAGAACAAAGATTATGCCGAAGCCTAAGAGTAAGCCTTAATTTGTAGAAAGCCAAAATATGAATAAGAATGACAATTCATCAGTGAACACACTGAGAAGCCCAAAGGATGCAGAGGCATATCAAACAGAATACTATAAAGGAATCGAACTTCTCTCCAAATGAAGAGGATTCTCTTTGATTCAACGAACAGAGGAACCAAGAAAGGGACTAGTCCCACTGACAATCTGTAGCAAAATCTGAGTCAAAGAGGTAATTAGATAAAGAAAATAGAAAACAAACCTTTGGTCCACTACTAGCTTTACACCCAGAAAAGTACGATAAAGGATTCCACTGGGGACGACATCCTTGGCCCTGCTTCCATCACACATCTATCTCTCACCTCTTAAACACACCACACACACTTCCAAAAGATATTTATTATTTTAAAAAGAAAAAAAGCTTCTTGAAACAGCAGGAGGTTTGTATAATAAATTCAAGAAAACCTGAATGAAAAGACAATGTACAAATTGGTTTTCTAAAACCTGCAGGAGCAGCTAATTATAATGGGAGAAAAAAAGACAAAAGAAACAGGGAATATAATATGGTGGTGTTTGAACAAGGAAAATATCAAGGTCATAGAAATAACACAATTTGAGTGATATTTAGGAAACAGAACTTTCTAGATGTAGTGATGGACAGGTTGTACACAGAGAGGAAGAAGAATGATGACCAGGTCACTGGCTTGACTCAGAGATGAAGGTGACATTCACAAAGATGAGGAACATATATTGGCTTTCTGATCCCATGGTATTTAAGTCTCAGAACTAAACAAACTGCAGAACATGCAACAATTAACAATAAATATGGTAACATTATCACATATACTTTGAATACTACTTTTTTTAAAAAAATGGAGACCAAGAGTAAACTGCTATGTCTAGTTCACTTTTTATACTGCTGGCTCTAATGCTTATACAAAAAAAAAAAAAAAAAAAACACTCACTGCCATTGAGTTGATTCCAACTCATAGTAACCTCCACTGGTTTTCCAATGCTGTAAATCTTTACTGAAGTAGATTGCCACATCTTCTACCCGAGAAACAGATGATGGGTTTGAGCAGCTGACCTTCTACCTTTCTGGTCACCTTACCCACTATGCCACCAGAGCTCCTCAAACATTAACAGTCAGCTAAAAATCGCCAAGTAGTTTCTATAGAAACAGCTACTGAGCCAGTTTTCTCCTTTTAAATCCACTAAAAATTCAATGGTAATTTGTTCCATAGTTGCACACTCTTCCATATTAAATGCCATCCATAAAAGGTTCTAGCCAATTCTATGACTAAAATACTTGAAGAGCACAAAGCAATTAAAAACCATATACATATGATTTACATATGGAAGGAAATTTTCTTTGTTAGTTAGCAGGGATAGGAAGAGAGGGGAGGGAAAATTGCTACACAGGTAGGAGACAAGTACGGATTGGGGTGAATTAAAGACAATATACCAAAAGCGAGTGCTCAACACAATTAATACTAAAGAAAAGGAAGACAAAGAAAGGTGCACAAGAGGTATGGAAAACAAAAATAAACACTTTTATATACACAATGTTGCATTATCAGTAATAACAAACATTAACAGGTGAACACATTGGTAGACAGGCTGAATGATCAGGTATGTCTAGGCAAAAGGGAATATACTCATGACCATATGTAAGTTTTGCAAAAAGTATTTCTACATACTTATTTGTATGTGAATAAGAATGTCCATATAAATAGAGCTAACAGAGGGAAAAGTTATGATAACTTCTTAGCCACAGCCAATCACCCTGAGGGAGTGAGTTGCTGGGACCATGGGTTCAGGGACCATGGGTTCAGGGACCATGGTCCCAGGGACATCATGCTCAATTGGCACAATGGACTATACAAAAAACATTATTTATTCTACATCCTACTTTGGTCAGTAGCCACTGGGGTCCTAAAAGCTTGCAAGTGGCCATCTAGAGACAACAACTGGTCTCTTCTCCACTGCAGCAAAGATGACCAAAGATGCATGGACACAATTAGTCCAAGGGACTACTGGACCATGTGAACCTCACTCTATATAACCATGAGACCAGAACTAGATGGTATGTGGCTACCACTGTCAACTACTCAGAAAGTAATCAATGCAGGAGATCCTCGACAGACTAAGAAAAAAATGTTGAACAAAACTCAAAATCATAAAAAAGATCAAGCTTACTGGTCTGATAGAGACTGGTGTAATCCTCAAGACGATGGCCCCTAGTCACCTTCGGGCCCAGACCTGAACTCACTCCCATGACTTCCAGCCAAACAACAGACAGGCACATAAGGTGAACATTTACACCATGTACACTCCTTAGAACAATCTATCAGAAGGGTAGTATTTGCACAAGGCGATAGCTCAGAGGGCAGGACTGCATAGCAAAGAAGGACACAGGGAAAAGGTAATCACAGGGAGGAAGTGGGAAGAGCACTATTACATTATGGGGATTGCAGTCAATATCATGAAATGAAGTATGTATAAACTGCTATATGGAATTTCCTTGTAAACTTTCACCCAAGTCATAATTTAAAAAAAGAGAAAAATAATTTTAAAAAAAAAGAAAGAAAAGAAAAACACAATATACCTTGAACTTTCACTGTCACTTTCACTTTTTCTATCACTTTTCCATTCTTCTTCTTCAGAAGAACCTTCACTTTGATCACATGAAGTCTCCTAGTTTGTGAGAGGAGAAAAAAAAAATCATCCTGATCTCTTAGGTTAAATAAGGCAAATTAAGAAAAATCTCACATTGTTACCCTAATCATATGATTCAATGCTCTATAACAACTAAGTATGGTAACAAAGTAATAAACATGCTTAGATAAATTTAAAACAAAGTAAACTTCCTTTACTAAACTCTTTCTCTCATAAAGGTCGAAAGCAACAGAAAGTATTTGTGAGACTTAACAGCACCACTGTCAGCAAAACAAAGTATAAGATAATCCCTTCTCTTAGTGAACCTAAAAACACAATATAGGTACTGTCAGTGTTTTGGATTTTAATCATTCTAATAGGTATGTAGTGCTTATCTCATAGTTGGTTTAATTTGCAATTCCCTAATGACACGTGATTTTGTGTTATCTTCTCACATACTTATTTGCCATTTGTGTATCTTCTTTGGCGAGGTGTCTATTCAGATCTTAAGCCCATTTTTAACTGGTTTGCTTTTTTTCTTATTGGTAAATTGAAGAGTGTTCTGTATACTCGATATACAAGTCCTTTATCAAACATGTTTCACAAATATTTCTCTCAGTCCATGACTTATCTTTTCTCTATTAACAGCGTCTCTCACAGTACACAAATCTTTAATTTTAATGAAGCTCATCTTACCAATTTTTGCATTCATTGATCATGTTTTTGGTATTATATTTAAAAAGCTGTTGCCACAAAGACTCTACAGAGGTATCCTGATCAAGACGACGAAAATGCTGACAATTTAAAATTCTCATGGAATCCAGAATATCTGGAGCTTGGAGGCTAGATGAACCCAAAACAACGGCCCTGAAATAATCTAAACCTTAAACCAAAAATACCCCCCAAAGTCTTCTTCAAACCAAGAATACTTTAGCTTAACTAGTAAAGAATGTCTGTCTTCAGCAGTGTGCTCTTTTAAGATCTACCCATATGGCATCAAATTCACAACAGTAACTCGCAACAGTAAATAGGAAACTTAAGGGGCAATAAGTTTATTTTAATGGAGGGGGGAATAACTTAGAAAAGGAAGGTGAAAATGGTTGCACAATTCAGACAACATAATCAATGAATTGTACATGGAGAAATTTTTGAACTAGTGTATGATGCACTGCATACATTCTCAACAACAAAAATAAGGTAATTTTTCTTTACAACTATACGAACTTTACTCATATATACACTTATATACTCACACAATTCCCTCTGAAAGCCAAAGTCTGTGACTCTTTGCTAATTTAATTACCCAATTCCTTAAATCACACATTGTAAGCTATGTTGTTGTTCTTATGTGCCACTGAGTCGGACCCAACTCATAGCGACCCCTTCCTTGGGTTTCTGAGGCAGTATCACTAGGGAAGCAGATTGCCCCATCTTCCTTCTGAGGAGTGGCTGGTGGGTTTAAACCGCCAGCCTTCTGGTTAGCAATCAAGTGCCTTAGGCACTACATTACCAGAGCTCCCATTTGGAAGCTATGTTGTTGTTGTTGTTATGTGCTGTCGAGTCGGACCCGACTCATAGCGACCCCTCCTTGGGTTTCCGAGGCAACATCACTACGGAAGTAGATCGCCCCATCTTCCTTCCAAGGAGTGGCTGGTGGGTTTGAACCGCCAGCCTTCCAGTTAGCAGTCAAGTGCATTAGCCACTATGCTACCAGATTTGGAAGCTATAGAACCTTTAAAAGAAGAAGAAGGAAAAAAAAAAAAAGGCCAGTGTAAAGATTCAGGGGAAAAAAAAAGAAAAATCATATGTAGCCATGTCACAGAGACAAGATAGGCTTTTAGAGGGAGTAATATTATACTAGACAATACTAGGCCTTAAAGTTGTGATTCGGCTTCCAGTCTTTCCTCCATGTAAGCCTCTGGATAAGCCATTTAACATCTGAGTTGCATTTTGCTCATCTGTAAAAGGGAATGCAATATGGTAGGCTAACAAGGGTTTGCTATGGAGATCACATGCATTAAAATCAAATAAAGTAAAAATGTTTTGCAAACTATCATGTACATTACATACATCTATAAAAACTTCACAAATAAGCTTCACATAAATTCTTAATATATTTTCAGAATGACCTGTGAGGAGAATTACATTGTCCCCTCTTCAGAAACAGTGAAACTGAGGCTCAGAGATCTTAAAAGTCAGAGATGATAAGTAACAGCATCTAGCTAGATTTCAAGACCAAGACTTAGTATTTTTTCTATTATACTCATAAGTATCCAAATCATTTACCTGCAGGTTATAAAAGCTTCAAAACAAAAATGTACCTTAAAGAGAATGTGCAGATGAGCAAATTCTAGATGCATGGTAAATCTACAAAAGAATGAAAAGGATGACTTGAGATTGAGTAGTCAGCCACAAGGAGGGAAGGGCTGACGCTTAATGCCTAAGTTGAGTAGGATTCAGAAATACAGAAAAATGACCCACAGTTTTTTTTATGGATTTATATTGATGGGGAAGGGGGTGGTGGAAGCAAGCTGATCCACTAACAAGGTTTATCATAAAGAGTCCCTAAAGACCATATCCTCAGTGAGTAAAATTAAGAAATGATTTGAGAAGTACACAGTGGCATTAATGAAAAATAATGTGAATGCTGGCACTCAGAATTACTGGGAGCAGTTGAAAGTTCTGAGATGCAACAGCAGGGTCATCCACAATGGAGAGGTTGCAGCAGAATTTCTAGACTATGACAGACTAAGAAGAAGGACCTGGGGATCTACTTCTCAAAAAAATATAGTGCCAGAAGATGAGTCTCTTAAGGTTATAAGGCACTCAAAAAACAACTGGGGAGACAAAGAGGCTGCAACATTGAGCCCAAACATAGTAAAGACTGCGGGGATGGCATAGGACTAGGCAGTGTTTTTGTTCTGTTGTACACTGGGTCACTATGAGTCAGAAGAGACTTGACACACCTAACAACAGGCAATGATGAACATACTTTACATTAACAAGTAAATTCATTCTCACAACACCTCTGAAAGGCATACTATTATTATTTACTTTTTACACGTATAGGTAGAGACAATGAGGGGGTACACAAATGGCCCAGGTTTAACCACTATCTTAACGTTTTATAAAGGATTTAAGTGAACTGTTCATCCATATAGAATATTTCATTCCTCAACATACTAGTGAATTAGAAAATATGACATTCTAATATTAAATTCCGTTGGAGCTCTGGTGATATAGTGATTAATGCATTAGGCTGCTATCCAAAAGGTCAGTGGCTCAAGTCCAAAAGCCACTCCACAAGAGAAAGATGAAGCTGTCTACTTCTGTAAAGATTTACAACCTTGGAAACCCTACAGGGGCAGTTCTACTCTATCCTATAGGGTCGCTATGAGTCAGAATCGACTCGACGGCAGTGGGTAATATTAAATTCTAAATGTTCTTTTCAAAATAAAGTCAAAATAAAGACCAGTAATTTACATATGATTACTGAAAGTCAAACAAGGGAATCAGGCAATACCTGTTTAAATGTGACTGCAAGAGCATAAGCAACTAAGGAAAAACTGATAAATTGTACTTCATTAAAATTTAAAATTCTATGCTTCAAAGAATACCATCAAGAAAACAAAGACAACCCACAGAATGGGAGAAAATATTTGCAAATCATATATCTGATAAAGAAACTGAACCCAAAATATATAAAGAACTCTTTCAACTTAATAAAAACACAAATAACTGAATTGAGAATTGGGCAACAAATTTGAGTAGACATTTCTGCAAAGACATACAAACAGCCAATAAGCACATAAAATCATTATTTGTTAGATATCGTTATTTATTATAAAAACTCAAATCAAAACCTCAATTCAATACCACTGCACACACACATTAGAATGACTATAATAAAAAAAAAAGCAGAGACCAACAAGTGTTGGGGATGATGTGGATAAATCAAAATTTGCATATACCACTGGTATATAAAATGGTACAGCCACACTGGAAAACAGCCTGGAAGTTCCTTAACAGTTAAACACAGGATTATCATATGACTCAGCAATTCTACTCCTAGGAATATACTCTATAAAAATAAAAATATATCCACACAAAAACTTTTATATTTGTACAAATGTTCATAGCAGCAACCATTCATAATAGCCCCAAATTGGAAACAAACCATATGCCTACCAACTGATGAATGGATAAAAGAAAATGAAATACAATGCATAGAGTGACATAATGAAATGAAGTATTATTAGTCAATAAAAAAGAAAGTAGTATTGATACATCCTACAAAAACATGGATGAACCTTGAAAACATTCTAAATCAAAGGCACCAAACACTAAAAAAATCACATATTGTATGATTCCATTTTAAATGTCCAACAGATCTATACAGACAAAAAAGGTTGCAAGGTTGGATGGAAGGGGGCAATGAGGACTGACTGCTAATGGGTGTGGAGTTTCTTTTGAGGGTAATGAAAACATTCTGAAATTAGACAGTGGTAACAACTGAACAACTCTGTAAATATATTAAAAACCATTAAATTATACACTTCAATTAGTGACTTCTATATTATATAAACCATCTCAGTAAGCTGTTAAATTATTTTGTTAAAAAACTCAAAATTTGAAATGGTATTTTTAATCTCTACAAAACAATATATTTTTTAATAATTTCACTTTAGACTCAAAGAATTAAAACAAATTTAATATTATTTTATATATTTCAATATGGTACCACTTACACATCTTACAGAGCTTGAAGATTCATCTCCAGAGGAGGACTCAAGCCGTCCAAGATTTCTTCTCCCATAATTTGGAAATTTACGCCTACATGTTCTCTGCCTAGACTGTGATGTCAAAGCTACTGAATCAGACTAAAATAAAGAAATATGTGGATTAAAATTAAGGCCAATATGCAACAAAATGGGTATCCTATTAAGTTCCCAAAAGAATGTTAGCCTAAACAAAGGCCTAAAGAAAAAGTCTCTGAACAAATAATACTTCCACCCAATACTATCAAATCAAACTTGCTGTATTTTTAAATTAATTAGAAGGTATGAGAAAAGTCACATCAGATAACCATTTTCCCAATCTTTTCTAAGTTTAATTGGTTTACCATGAATGAGAGAAAATAACAATAACCATAAAAATATATCACTTAGAAAATGTAAATTATAAAACTAAAAAATATGTATTTCTATATTCTAATACAGTAACCTTCCAGAATATATCACTTATATACAAAGATAGTATTATCTGAAATAATTAAATATCAACTCTAATAATTTCCAGGTTTTAAAATTTTAGATGATTTGTTATTGTTAGCACCATTTTTTTAAATGTCATTATCAAACCAGGTCATTTAAATAATCGTTTTAAACCAGTCAAAGAAAAGGTTAGGTTGGTATAATTTGATAAAGGGGGCGGGGGTGTACACAATTTTCTGAACATCAAAGTCATATGTAATAACAAGCAATGAAAAGTATATTCCTTAAGCTAATCCACAGGTCAATTTTCTCTTGAGTACCACCTGTTTGATGAGTATTTAACTTTTTTGTTATTTTAACACATTACCGGATGATTTTTAAATGACATGTGCTTTCATTAACTTGTCACAACTCATTTTTGTTAAAGCAAAACTCCAAACAATGTGCTCCATGACACCTACCAAACCAAAACGCACTGCTGTTGTATCAACTGTGATTCACAGTAACCCCACAGGACAGATTAAGAACCACCCCATACAGTTTCAATGCTGTAAATCTTCACAGAAGCAGACTGCCTCATGTTTCTCCCACAGAGCAGCTGGTGAATTTGAACCAATGACCTTTGGTTAGGAGCTGAACACCTTAACCAATGTGCCACGTAAGCTCCTTGTTCCATGAATAGTAATGGGTTAATACAAGTGAACCAAAACTACAACAAAGAGGAACAAGACAATCTAGCAAAACATCATTTTTAAAAATCAAGTTGAAGGATATAGGTAACTAACAAAGCTATGAAGCCTTATGACACCAAAACAGGAAAAGGAAGATAAACAGAAAAGAACACTAGGTGGCCATGAACTTGCTTAAGCACTCAACCACCATTAGCTGAAAAGTTGGCAGTTCAATTTACACAGAACCACCTTGGAAGACAGACCTAACACCTGACAATCTGCTTCAAAAACAGTTCCACTCTGCACACATGAAGTTGCCATGTGGCAGAAAATGACTCGACAGCAACTAACAACAAGACGGATTCTATTCTGAAAAAGGAAGCTAAGAGGTTTAAAAATAAGCAATAAAGAGACAGACAAGTTAGGCTACCAAAAATTAGAATTCAGAGCAGCCTAGGACTACAGGTGAACTACAGATAGAACAGTAATTTCAAAGGACAAAAGCCAATCTTTCTTTGAATGAAAGGCAATATAAATTCTGACAGTAGCCGTAGCAAACTGCCTGAAACAAATGTAAATCTGAGGAAGGTAATAAAATCTTAAGCTTCAAATCCCCTCTAAAAGTTAACATTCTATCAACATATCAAGCAACAAAGAAAACATGATTGTAAAAATAAGAAAAATCAATAGACAACAGAAACACACCCACAGCAATGGAGATGATAAAATAACAAAATAGCCAAAATGGGCTTCTAAAAATAACTATGGTTGATTTTCAAGGAATTAAAACGATGAGAATGTCAGCAGAAAACAGGAAATGCATAACCAAACAAATTCAAGAAACTAAAATAAATCACTAACTAAAATTAAGAACTCAGTAGTGTAACTAACAGTAGATTACACATAACTAAAGAGAAATAATGAACTGAATTTTTAGGAGAACAGTCAAAAACAGAAAGACTCAACTGAAGTCTCAAAGGGAGAAGGGAGAGACAGAAAAGAAAGAATGGAAAAATATACTACACAAACTAAAAGAAAGCTAGCACAATTATCTTAACATAAAAGAGTATAAAGAAAAAAGCACTAAGAGACAAAGGGTAACAATTCATAATGATGAAAAGGTTCAATGAAATTAAGAAAAAGGAAAATTCTAAATGTTTATACACCAAATAACTTGGCCTCAAAGCACATAAAGCAAAAATTTACACAGTAAGTAGAATTACAAATATAGTGCCTAAGGCACTTGACTGCTCACCAGAAGGCTGGCGGTTCAAACCCACCAGCCACTCCTCGGAAGGAAGGTTGGGCAATCCTACTTCCGTAGTGATACTGCCTCAGAAACCCTAGGAGGGGTCACTATGAGTCGGGGCCAACTCGATGGCAAACAACAACAACAGACACAATAAGAGATGTTAACACACATCTCATTATTGAGAGCAGTGCAATCGCTTTGAACTCTATTTGGTATTAGCTACTAAAGCAGAATATACAAATTTCCTATGACCCAACAATTTCATTCCAACGCATATATCCCAAACAAGTGTATACAAATACACTCAGAAATATATACAAAAATACTGAAAACAGTATTATTCTTAATAGCCAAAATATAAAAACAACCCAAAATCTTTAAATAATAGATTGATAAACATCAGTATGTTCATTAATGGAATACTGCACAACAAGAAAACAAATGAACTACTCACTAGAATATAGCTAAATCTCACAAGGTTGAAAAATCAAAGCCAGACATAAAAGAATATACATTGTATAAACTTATTTAAATCAGGGTTTCTCAAATATTTTTTCATTATTTCCACTTTATGAAAGAGACTTTTTCAGACTTTTTCCTAATTGTTCCCTAAATGAAATACTGATACTACAGATATACTATATATGCTTATGTATTATATGTATACCTGTACTTTAAACATGGAAAGTACAAAACTTAATCTTTTTCTCAATACAAGGTTAAGAATGATTAAAATGTTTTAAGTTAAAAATTAAACTAAAATTCTTAAAGCTATTAACATTTAACTTTACAATTATTTGTTGAATAACATTTAATGTAATTTGTTTGCTTACATGAATACATATGTAAATTAGTTTACATGAATACATAATAATAGCAATGTATTCAACGGCACATAACAACAACAATTCAAGGATTTTAAAAGGTTTTCCAAACTTTTCTTTTTTCCAGCAAAAGTGAAACAAATGAAAAGATACATTATAATTTTTAAAACTTTTAGTGAACTTTTAAATTTTAAGAAATTTTGTTTGGGAAATACAGCTGCTAGATTTTCATCCAGATAGTCAGAAATGTTTTCTTTTCAGCACTTGACATAATTAACGATGTCTGAAAAGTAGAAATGAGTAAAAAAATTTAATTCTCAAAGCCCATGTCACATACAAAAGCACTAAAGACAGTCAATGGTAATCAAGAGATAATAGGCAGGTCACATCTCACAATATGAATTTGAGACCAAACAATAAACTGAGAGCAATTTCTCCAATAAAAATCATCCACTGCCAGTTTTGTAGCACTGATCTCACTTATATACTGTGTATCTTCCACGAACTTAATGTCATGTAGTTCCCTGATGGCCAAGAAAACCCAAACAGCAAAATTAAATACCAACTGGTGGCACAGTGGTTAAGCACTCAGTTGGTAATTAAAATGTTGGCAGTTCAAACATACCAGCCTCTCCGCAGGAGAACAATGTGGCAGTCTGCTTCCAGAAAGATTTCAGCTGTGCAAATTCTATGGGACAGTTCCACTCTGTCCAAAGGGTTGCTATGAATCAGAATCATACTGACTACAATGAATAATGACAGAAAGAGTCACACTTTGAAGGGCTACAAAGTATGGTAACATCTATGACTTTTTTTTCCCTCCCTGAAAGAACCAATTTCAACAGGTGGAGGGCAATATTGCTCCCAATGGAATGTATGATTTAGATAAAAAATAGAAAAAGCTAGTTGATGAATTTAAAACTGAAGATATTGGTTATCTGTAGGAGAAAGAAGAGAATAATGATAGGTAATGCACAAAGTGCTTTTAATGTGCTAGAAATATTCCAGGTGTTGAGCAGAGTGGTCATTAAACCCAAACCCATTGCTATCGAGTCAATTCCAACTCCTAACCACCCTATAGGACAGAGTAGAAATGTCCCATAGAGATTCCAAGGCTGTAAATCTTATAGAAGCAGAATGATTCATCTTTCTGCCACAGAGCACCTGGTGGGTTGAATGACTGACCTTTTGAATAGCAGATGAATGCTTTAATCACTATACCACCAGAGTTCCTTGAGTAATACACAGTAATTTTCTAGAATCCATTAGCACTACTAGGCATCAGACATTTTCTCAAGTTTTCCCTAATAGCCGTATAAGCTTAACTCTACTATTTTAAATCCCAGAGGACCTTAAGTATAAAATATTCTATACCTATGTGAAAGCTACTAATATTTTCACAAATCAAAGAAAACTCATGAAACTGCCCAAAATTTAAAATTAAACAAAGTACTTATATATAATGTTTAACTTTCCTATGACATTAAATTTCAATTTTCTAACTTGCTATTCCTAAGAAAATCTAGTTTTAGGTTACCTTCTGTGAGAGTTGGACAGACTTCCTTTTTCTTCCCATTATATAAAGATTTCTTTCCTCTTCACCTTTCTCTATTCTGAAGTCTTCCAATTTCCTAAAAATGTGGACAAATTTCCTTTGTAAGAAGAACCCAAGATAACAAATGAAGACTTGCTAGAGTTAAAATATCACTATTTTATAACTACTAATGAAGAATAATACTGAAAGAGAGACTAGATATTATGTGCCTCGTGATAGACTTAGAACATCTATGAAATGTTGTTATTGTTGTTGTTATTTGCCATTGAGTCGGCTCCGACTCATAGTGACCCCTCCTTGGGTTTCCGAGGCAGTATCACTACGGAAGTAGGAATGCCCAACCTTCCTTCCCAGGAGTGGCTGGTGAGTTTGAACCGCCAGCCTTCTGGTTAGCAGTCAAGTGCCTTAGGCACTACGCTACCAGAGCTCCTAGATCTATGAAATAGTCTTGCAAAAAATTGAAAACACTGTATCATCTGGGAAAAGTAGAAATTTAAACACTGGATATTTACATATATTGAAGAATTATTTATTTTTTTAAGGTAGGATAATGGTACTGTGGTTACATTTTTTTTTTTAACAATTCTTTAGCTTATAGGAATACATACTGAAATACTTTTGAATGAAATTATATTATGTCTGAGATTTCTTTCTAAACAATACTGAAGGCAAAAAAAATAGGTATTGGTATAGATGACACAAGATTAGGTATTAAAAAATCTATCATAGTAGAAAGTTAAAAAATAATTTAGATATTTTCCTACCACAAATAAAAGTTTTCTACCCACTACTGAAATACATTAATGATTATTTACACAAGTAATGGAATAAAGAATGTATACATAGCCACACTCATGTATTTTTTTAACACATAAACAATAAAAATAGATATCCTAAAACAAACCTAAATATGCCTAGTGGTACCTCTGGTACAACCACTCTACGTTTCCAAGCTTGTAGGTCACGTTCTGTAGCAATTTGGCTACGTGGAGCATTTTGATGCATTTGACGAACCCCTTCAACTTGTCCACTACGACGCAAACCAATATTTGGAGGTGACTGGATATCTGAGCTTAGTCTTCTAAAACCTAAAAACAATGATCAAAAATAACTTCAAAACAACTTTCAACCTAGTATCATTTAATATGTAGCAAACATATATTCCTCCTACTAAAGCACATGCCAAAAATAAAACAATGAAAGAAAGATCTACTGAAAAATCTTTGAAAAAAAAATTTAATGTGACTGAGATTAATAGGGCAAAATGTAGAATACTAAGCCAACATTAATATAACTATTAGCCTCAATTTCAGTATTGATTAGACTCTGAGACTTCAAAATCTACAGGCATTTTCTGTTAAAATGCCATATTTGCATTACTATAATCCTTATTTTCTTCAAAAGTACATACCAAAAATACACCTGGAGGGAAAAGGAGCACTGAAGTAAGACTTCTCAAAACCAAGGTGGCTTTATAACCAGAGTTCTAACAACTGGTTGCATAAAATGAGCCACCCACCCAGGCCAGCAACTGCCAAAGGAGATTATTAAAAACTCACAAAAATATGGGGATTGCAGTCAGTGTCACAAAACAGAATGTTTATGGACTATCGAATGGAACATGAATTTGCTCTGTAAACTTTCATCCAAATCACAAATTAAAAAAAAATAATAATAACAAAAATAAAATCACACATGGACATATACAGGCAGCATGTGAATAGAGCAGGATGGGTAGGTGATGGCGCAATATAGAAGATAGTGGCCATTTGAGGCTACCATACAGGTAGACACAGGAGGCAATGCAATTTTCCACTGGCTTGAAACTAAAGGCTAAAGATGTGCCTCTAGGAAGGAAGGCCAGGCAGAGTGCTCATTTTCTTAAAATACAGGGTGAATGGTGTTCTAAAACAGCAGAGAAGCTGAAGGGTCTATCTTTTCCTATTGGAGGCCCTAAAATTCTGCTCTAGCTGTTTCAAGTTCTACTTTCCCGGAGAAAAAAATTCACATAATAGTGAACTTAATTTCTGCATTCTTCTATTTATTTACAAATCATCTGTGAACCAATTCACATTACAGCACACACTACACTTTGCTTAAAAGAAATGGCATCAAAAGCCCATATTAACCTAAATATTTATATTGATTTTTAAGAAAAGTACGCTGAACTGAAAATTTAAAATTTTAAATTTAACTGATTAAGTCATATTGTTATTCTCCAACAATGTGAAAACGAGTACAAAGTTACCTGTCACAGCATTATTTGTAATAGTGAAGTAAAGATATAAATTAAATGTCCAACAGATTAATTATAGACAGGTTGTACCAGACAAGGGAGTGCTATGAATCTGTAAAAAAGGAAAAACTGTAAATTAATGTAATTTCTAACAATATGAGACTGAATGATTCAAAATAACCAATACCAGTCCATTTCAGATCATTAAGGACCAGGATATAAATCTTCATGTATTCCATTTCTTCTTTGATAAGTTCCAATTTTCCTGGATTCGTTGTTGCTGTTGTTGTTAAGTGCCGTCGAATCGTTTCCGACTCATAGGGACCCCATGCACAGCAGAATGAAACACTGCCCGATCCCACGCCAGCCCCACAATCCCTGCTATACTTGAGCCCATCATTGCAGCCACCGTGTCAATCCATCTCGTTGA